CCATGGATCATCCATGGACTTCCATGGACTTCCATACAAGCCTAGCCCATTAACAAATGGGTGTTAGCCCACACCATATAAAACCAATAGCCCACAATCTAATTAGTCTTCCTTTTAATCTCTAAATTAATTCATAATTAATTTAAGATTAAGACCCAATTAAATAACATGACTTCATATTAATATATTATAACTTATAATATATTAATAATCATATGTGTATAACTCTCATAAAATTATCCATAAATAGTTTGGATGAAATGCAACCCAAATGGACCATGCCGGGTCGGGTCAAGTATATACCAAATAAGTTATGGACTTAGACACCTTATCCAACATGCTTATCACATAAAGTTGCAAACTTTACGTGCATGCATGGATTTAAAGTCTCAAAATGGCAAATCTAATCTATTGAAGGGTCTTTATGCACAAAGGGGACCTTAATCACGACTAAAGCTGCAACTTTATGCTTCTAGAATCCAAAGAGAGTCTACATCTGAAGTTACAACTTCAGATCTAGTCCGTAGCACATCATACCAACTTCATATTCCATGAAAACCCTAAAACTCACCCAATAAGGGAGATCTACAGAGAGAATGACGGATTGGGTACCTTTTGAAGTTGATATATGAGATGAGTGTTGATTCCCACACTCCAATTGCTTCAATCTCCTTCTCCTCCAAGTCTTCTCCCTCCAAGAACTCTCTTTCAAGCTTCAAATACACACACAAGGCACACACACACACGAATAAGGCTCTCAAGGGTTCTTTGGAACTGTAAGGAGGTCCAAGGGAGGCTAAGGTCCTTTTAAATAGGGGTGCAAACCCCGGGAATTAGGGTTTCACTTGCCAGCTCCTACTCGCCGAGTCCCAATATAGACTCGTCGAGTAGGTCACTTAACCCGCGATCCTTCTCACTGCTACTCGACGAGTAGGTAAACCAACTCGTCGAGTAGGGCCTAATCCAAAAACTCATATTAACAATACCCGAGAATCGGGGCGTTACAATTTGAGTTTTCTCCCCAAATGGGCCTTACGATGGTCTTCACGGTCATCTCTTGGTCGTGAACTCTAATGATCCTTACTCTAAACCGTGAACTCCTCTTGGATGTGTTTATTTGGACCGTAAACTACATGTTTCTTTTATTTTTGGAACGTGAACTCCATTTGATTTCTAATTCCAATCGTGAACCTCCTTTGAACTTGTTTGTTTGGGCGTAAACCCCTTGATATTTAAATCCTAGGCCGTGAACACATATATAGAGTGTTTATTTATGGTTTAAACCTTAGACATTTAACTTATGTTAATGTTATAATATCATAGTTCACTTAAGACTCAAGCTATATTTAGATTTTAGCTTATAATTATGCACTTGAGATGATAGAGGTATATATATATATATATATATAATATATATATATATATATAGAGAGAGAGAGAGAGAGAGAGAAAGAGAGAGAGACACACACATAAGGATCAAAATGTAGTTTTGAGTAAATTACACGAATGGTCCCTATGGTTTGGGATAATTTGCGTGTTTGGTCCCTAACTTATTTTTTTAACTCGGAAGGTCCCTATGGTTTGTTTTTGTTACGCGTTTGATCCCTACTGTTTATTTTTGTTACGTTGTTGGTCCCTATCTTATCTAAAAAGACTATTATTTAAAGAGAAAAAAATAATGCGGTAGGTGAGGTAAGGTGAGGGGATGAGATTAGGGGAGTGTTCATTTAAATAAATTAAAAAAATCAAGAGCATAATAGTCTTTTTAGGTCAGATAGGGACCAAGCGCGTAACAAAAACAAACAGTAGGGACCTTTTGAGTTAAAAAAAATAAGTTAGGGACCAAACACGTAAATTACCCTAAACCATAGGGACCATTCGTGTAATTTACTCTGTAGTTTTTGACTTTTATTGAATTGAGAATGACGGGTTGTTACATCAATATTGCCAAACTTTACGTAAGCGGTCGAATACTCGGACTCGAACATGTCATGAGGCGCCTAATTAGGAATTGGCCAAAAATAGTTGGAGTCGGTTACACTATGTTGAAATTAAAGACGTAAAAATTTATCATTTCTCCAAAAATGAATGCATGGAATTACAAATGAATATACTTTGTTCTCGCGTTCTCAACTTTTTTGGTGTTCTCATTTAATTCGACTCATATATATATATATATATATATATATATATATATATATATATATATATATATATATTATATATATATATACACACACACACACTAGGTTATAGTCCGTGGAAACCACGCTTAACAAATTAAACAAATATTGATAATTCAAAATCATAATCATTAATCAATTATATTCAAAGTGTAAATGCAATTGTTATATGCCAAATTAGAAATTAAGTTATTAATATTTTTATTATTAATCTTATATAGAAGGAATTACAATTTTTTTATACTTACATTATAATTATAACAATATTTTTTTAATTAATTACGTTACTTATTGTAATAATATTAACAATAACTTAGAATACAATTAAATTTACATAAACTGCAAATACAAAAAAACTAATTACTATAAAATCTCTATTAATTTTCCATATTATTAAATTATGTAATTAAAAAATGATAAAAACTTTATTTCCTAAATACCCACGACCTACTTTAATACTTTATCTATGCCATTTAAGATAGCATTCTAAATATACACATTAATCATCCTAAATTTTTATTGTAATCCTATCTGAGGTATACGAATTTATGGCACCAACGACCACCCTTGCTCAGTATACATTTTCTCACAGCAATCATTAAGTTCACGTCTGTCGATCAATTATAAGAAGCAGATACATCAATCTTTGCAATGTTATTTGGAGAAAACATTACAAAGGTTAGAAGGGGGTATATAATCATTGATTGACTGTGGGAATATGACGCCAATTTTTCCTGAATGTTGGTTATTTTAACAGAAAATAAATGTGTATATATAGAAACTTACATGTTTAATTTTCAGCAATTTTGATTTTGAAGTCGATAGCAAGAGGTCGAAATAAAAAAACTTACAATGTTTTAAGAGTGGAAGAAAATATTGATTAGCTCTGCAAGTTTTCAGTGAGTACTCTTTAATTTTGATAGTTGCAAACGCTAAATATTAGGCTAATTTTTATGCAAATTTTAATTTGTTTAATATAAGTAAAATAGATATTTATTTTAATTGATTTACTTTCCAAAAAGATGAAAACTTGTTTAAAAAGGTGTATTTCTTTCATATTACTTTAATACTATAATTTTTTTTATATTACCTGCATGATATTTACCAAAACACACATACACACATAAAAATAAACAAACACCGGTCCATTAAAGTTACAGAAAATGTCCTTGTTTTTCTGAGTTTACATAAATGGTCCCTGTTTGTCAAAGGTTACAGAAATGATATGCAACAGTTAATAGAAACGGTCCCTATATAGTTCCAGTTTGTCAAATTTTACATAAATGGTTCATATGTTTAAAAAATTACAAAAATGTTCCCACGTAGTTCAAATTTAACAGAAATGTACACTGTTTTATTAATAACTTAGAAACGCTACATGTTTTAACAATTTAAATCTCATAAATCGTCTCCATATAGTTAAAAGTTAAAAGAAATAATCCCTACTTTTTGCGGTTAACAGAAATGAAAGTAAAAGCCATTAAATGACCAATGAGTCAATGACGAATTATGAAAGTAAGATGTCAATAAAATAAACTACCATTAAAATATGATTTCATTAAAAAACAGCAACTAGTCGTGTTATACAATGGCAAATTTTGAATTTCTAATTATAGAATTATACTTTGATAAATGACCAAATTGGGACCTGTTTTTTAAATTTTTACAGAAAGTGTCCCTATTTCAATGAACATTGCTATATGTTTTAAAGGAATGGTCATGTTGTTATTAAATAAATGAGCAAAAAAAAAAGGTAAACGAAAATGTCACATACACATACATTAACACACACGACATTAAAAAAACAAAAAGTAACACCTAAAAAACAATTGACACATAATGTATTAGTTTTGAAAGTAATATGTTGTAAATGGGATTAATTTCAAATTACATCGCTATAAGTGTAAATAATTTTATCTACTTTAAACAAAAACACCAAGACTAATATAAAAAGATTAAAAAAACACTTTGTTAAATAAATCAAAACGACCTTTTATCGGGATATGAAATCATTGACACGACTAAATCAAACAAAGTCAGATACATACGTACAGACAGATATATACAAAGAAAATGATTCAACATTAACAATAAATGAATTATAATTGTATCTGAATAATGAATAATCAAAATCTTCAAAACCCAAAAGAATTACTAACCTAAATTTTGAATTCAATGAAGGGTAATGAGAAACTGAGTTGCCTCCACTTTTTTTCGTGATGAAAATTTTACAGGAAGCGGTATATAAATCGAGGAAAAAAATGGTATGATTTCTAATTTAATTTTGGGATAATATTAATTTCCAGATTTATTGATTATTGATATTAATATTTTTCTGGTAATATTTGACTATAATTTGAAAATATGAAATCTTTTGAATAAAGAAACAATCATGTTTGCCGATTAACAGGGTATAATAACAATTACTACGTATTTTTTGTGTTTGACTTAAATAATATCCTCAATTAATGGCAGAATTATAGGGATTGCAATGTTGAAATCGACTTCAAATAAGTACCTAGATCTCGTTAAATAAGGAGCTAATACCATATTTTATGGAGTATATGAAATTTTGTAGAAGTGGACATGGGGCATATAAGCTAAGAGTATGACACATGGCGAATTCGTTGAAAAGGTGACATGTGGCATTGGTGAACTACTCTTTTATTAATCACACCGAATCATTTACCCCACTTATCGGTTTCATAATTTGGGTCTAAAATGTATGTATTTAGGTTTAAATGGTCATTTTTTAAATAAAAAAAATTAAAACGGATTGTTTCTTAAAAAAAATACAATACAAAAACAGTTAGATCACTCAATTTCCCAAAATAAAAGCTGTCTTAAAAAACAACACTCGTGCCTTAACATATTTTGAACCATACCAAATCTAAGTACATTTTAAACCCTGAATTATAAAGTTTATTTACTTTTACCAAGTACCAATCATTATTAAAATCAAGTATGATATGAAAAAATAAGTTTCAAAAATACTGAAGTGCTAGATGTGTAGTTAACTTAGAAAAAGGAGATAAAAACAATGTAACAAAGACACTACCCTGAGTATCAACTCCATTATTAATTATTTATCATAGATAACGAGACCAAAAGAAAACACCTTCAAACCTAAAGGTGCTTCTTCGGTCAAAAAAAAAAAGCAAAAGTAGCATAGAACCTACTGAAACGTGACCAAAAGGACTTACGCACACATCAAAATGCGCATAAACTATTCAACAATATTCAGAAAAACCAAACACCCAATTTGTCAAAAAAAGATTTGCATACGAAGGCATGGTGATTTTTGGGAGCTTTATCTACACAAGTTCTTGAAGAAAATCAACTAGAAACAAATAACTAAATCCAAGCTTGAGAAGAACATGGATCCATTTGATTGTTTTACACATTCAGTGCCAATTTCTGAGCAGCAAGTGCTTCAGCCTCAAGTGTAGGCTCCCACAGGATAGTGGTTTCTGCAAGTAATCCAGTCACTGTGTATGGATCCATGTTTGATGCTGGACGCCTGTCTTCCAAATAACCTACACACAACAACAAACCATTAAAAAAAAAAATTCATTAAGTATTGACTTAATACAAAAAGAACAACTTAATAAAGAAGATTGAGTAAAATTATTTTTATTTTTACCTTTGCCTGCCTTCTCAGTGTCACGACCGACACGGATTGAGCAACCACGGTTCGCAACACCCTGGAAGATAGCATTTGAAAGCATGAATTTTTGTTGGTTTTATATTTTTTGAATTTGGTATTAGATATTTTATTTTTATTTTTTTTATGTTTTTAGATACCCATGAAAAAGTGTTGATGCTGGCGGTTTCGTGTTTTCCTGTCAATCTTCTTTCGTTTCCTTCACCGTAAGCACTGATGTGGTCTGAGTGGCGAAGGGAAAGGTTCAGAATCGCCTTTTTGATTACTTCAAATCCACCTTCTTCTCTCATGCTTAATGTGCTGTGAAAAATTATAAGAAAAACACACAAGTCAATTTTAGTGTTAGAAATTGTGATAAGTCTTGCATTATTAGGTAGTTTTTGGTATGATGGAAATTTAAAAAAAACACACACACACACAAGTACCTGTAGTTAGTGTGGCATCCTGCTCCATTCCAGTCTCCCTGTCAACATTTAAAAAAAAAAAAAAGGTAAATTAAAATATCTGATAAAAAGTCAACACAAAAAAAATCGATTACAGATTACCTCAATTGGCTTAGGGTCAAGTGTCAAAACAACACCAGCTTGTTCAGTAATTCTCTGTTTAAAAAAAAAGAATATTCAAGAAACAGTATCGGTTTAGTGATTCTAAAACCGTAAAGATTATGAAAAGACAGAATTGCCCTTTTGTTGGTGGAAATGGGACGGAGATGTTTTATTTTACCTCAAGAAGGTATCGGGCGCACCAGATATGGTCACCGGCTTCGATTCCAACGCTGGGACCCACTTGGAACTCCCACTGTGAAACACAATTTGTGACGTAAAATTTTTTATTTTATAAAAAATATTTTAAGTAATAAAGAAAATGAGTAGAAGAAAAAGAAACCTGTCCTGGCATGACTTCACCATTGGTTCCACTGATGTTGATTCCGGCGTATAAACAGGCCTTGTAATGTGCATCAGATATGTCCCTTCCAAATGACTTATCTGCCCCCGCACCACAGTAGTATGGACCCTATGAATTGGAAAAAAAAGATTATATATTATATAAAAGTGATTTCCATGGAATCTGTTTAACCGGAATCGGTAAAAGGAATGGAATGGTGGATTCCAGTAGAATATAATGATTATATTATATTTATACCTGAGGACCAGGGTACCCTCCAACAGGCCAACCCAAAGGCCACTTCACATCTTGTTGAAGCAAAGTGTACTCTTGCTCAATTCCAAACCTTAAAAACCAACATAATTAATATTTCATTTTCATGAAAAAAAAAAAAAAAATTCATTAAATTTTCACTCGAAAAACCTACCAGGGAACTTGTGCTACAACTTTAGGATCACTGAAAATCTCAGCAGCCTTAGCACGTTTGTTTGTAGGGATAGGCACTCCTTGTGGAGTGTATGTATCACAGATTACCTTTCAAAATAGAATCAAGGTTAAATAAATTTTAAGAAAATAGCATTTTTTTCAAAATGTTAAGAAAAAAATTAGAAACTTGAAAGTATAAATTATAATATTGTAATAAACTCACCAAGATGTTGTTGCCACCACGGAAAGGGTCCTTAAAGATCGCCTGAGGACTACAAAAATAAAATTATAATTATAACTAATTCAAGTAAAATGAAATTTATTAATTTATTAATTTATTAATTAAATTGGACTTACTATAAGATAACCTCACTGTCTTCTCCTGGTGCTTGTCCAGTACTTGATCCATCATAATTCCACTTTGGAAGCTCAGAAGGATGCTCCACTGGTTTCGAGAGTGTCTAAAAAACAAACAATTTAAAAATATAACCTTTTTAATTAATTTATTTTTTTAACTATTTCAAAATAATTACACGAATCAAAAAGTCAACATACCCTTGACTTGCTGCGCACATCCGTTCCTGAACCTCCAATCCTGTTTCAAAATATCAAAAAAAAAAATGAAATTTGAATCTGTCATGTTTTTTGTTACAAAAAATGAAATAAACAAGTCATTTTGGGTTTTATATAACTGTGTTTTACAAAGGGAATAGGAAAGTACCAAATGTATTCAGCAATGATCTTATCAGTGTAAGGAGTAACATCCAAGTTTAGTAAATCCTCAACCCTGTTAATAGTTCCACTTGATGAAGCACAAATTCTAAATTTTGTGGAGCTTTTAAATGCTCCTTTCTTGCTTTGCTTAAATGACACAGAGTTCCACATTTTTGAGGTCATTGAGCTTGTTTCCATTGCATTCTTTGTTAACCTTGTTTGCCATTGCACTGAAGGAGCCAAACACTGAGCCATTTTCACCTAATCATTTCAATTCCATTCAACAAAAACAATGTCAATGAACACATAAAAAGTCAACAAGAACACAAAGTAAACAATGTAGTGTAAGTTCTTTTCATCATTGTAAGGAAACTGTATGCATTAACTGATCTACAGTCAAAATTTTCTAATACTGTAAAAAGTTAAAAAGTAAAAAGGTAAAAAGTGAAAAAGGTTAAAAAGGTGAAAACGTTTTCTGGATCTGTCATTGTTTGTATGTATATGATTTAGCAAATCTTTTTAATAAGGGCCACTCACCAATCACCAGTATTAAAAACTTATTGGTTTCCTTAAACTATATTTGTCATTTGTTTATGACATACTTTTAGCCTCTTCTTTCTAATAAGCATGATCCACGATTCTTGTAATGGGGTTAGTTTACTCAAAAAGACTTTGTCTTTCATTTATTTAAAAATATGAATATGAATTATGACCTAGTTGTGCCCTTTTCGTTCTGTAATCTTTTATTCGTAAAGGGTATCAGATTCAAAACAGAAAAATCAGTATATAAATAAATAAATAAGATGCTTGGTGATGCAATCATGCTTATAATATATGTACGATCAATTATTGATTATCGAAGAAAAGGAAATGTTGACCAGCGAGGGGTAGTTTGGTCTTTTGCTTCTCAGCACATGGAGAAGCAGTGGAGGGATCTAGATAGGCGAGAAAGAAAGAATTGTTTATGTCAAAAACGGATTAATGGCAAACAGATCTACAAGTGTCTGGTCTTCTTTTTGCAGACAAATAAAGGCCAATATCGGATGTTCACTTGGCAGTCAAATAGTAAAAATCGAGAAAATCGTCGCCAAATGTAAATAAAATGTATACAAATCAACAAGGAAAAAAACCAATCGATGATGTTCACTTGGCATTCAGATAGTCAAAATCGAGAAAATGATCGCCAAATGTAAAAAAAACGTATACAAATCAACAAGGAACAAAAGGAAGACATAAAAATACAAAGCTACCCCAAGGGCAATGGAGTTCGATTCCCGTTACAAAAAGGAAAAGCTCCGATTCCGATCAAAATAGAGAAAAGAAGCAATGTAGGGGATGCAAACATACCGGAAAAGCAGTCGGGAAGTGGTGGGGGAAAGAGAAAACTGGAAGTTGTAGAGTGGGTGTTGAAAGGGTTATTTATTTATAATTTATAATAAAAACAAAACAAACAAAATGGTGATTGGCCTTTCCTTATGAGATAGGGGTGCGTTGGGTTTTGGGTGGAGGAAATTCGCCTTTGGTCTCTTTAAGGTCATCAAGAGAAGCTATCATTCTCATGCTTCTCCTGCTCTACTCCAATAGGATAAGGTTTTCTCATGAACCCCAACTTTGTTTATCAACAAATTCCCTAAAAGTTCGGATTTAATTCATAGCATTTCAAATTTATTTATGTTTCCTTCATGTGTATGTACGTTTTAGAGAAATATCTCATGTATTTTTAAACCACGTGAGTAAATGTTTAGGTAGGCATAGACTTGTATATAAGTTAACACAAATGTGTGTAATGTTATTTAAAATGGGTTTATAGTAAATAGAATTGTTTTTTTTTTTTTACTTTTGTAAATAAAACTATTAGATGTAAGATAGTTTAACGATCACATTCCGGAATTGATCTAATCATGTACTAATACATTTTGGTGTGACGGGGTAAAGGTAAGTAAGATGTTGCATGGACATGCTCAAGCCATGATCTTCTTAACACAATGACATGTCTAATCAATTAAGGATCCTAGAGAATAGAATGCCTAATGAAAGGAAAGAATAACTATGCAACTAATCCACCCTTTAGCTTTAGCCCTAATCCACATACAAACATTAATTTTTGCCAAATAAAGAGTGTACTTAACGAGAGAATGCACGGTACCAAGCATACTACCTACTATAGAAAAAATGTGTATATAGTAGCATTGGGCTAGACTAATCAGAAATAAGTTTGCTTTTAAATAAGACAAGGTGCTCCCCCAATAAGTTTAAGCACGTTGTGACCTTATTACAAACATTTTTGTACTATTTAATTTAGTTAGGACTACTCTGAGTATTGTATGATTATAACATTCGAACATTTTCCTTAGTTATGTAAACTAGTGTTAGTCTTTGTTTGGTAATATGATTAAGATAGGTGATGTAAATATCTTGGTTGAAATGCGATAAGAAATAATATTAGGGATTTACTGTAAGTCAGTTTCACAATTGGTGGTTTGTAAGCTAAAGTGTAAGTTTAAGAATGACGCTTGAATGTCTATTGGTCATATCTTATATAACAACAGTGGTCACTGTAACATCCTGTTTCTTGCCATTTCTGAACAATGGTCCGGAAGTCGATTGTGTGAGGTTTTGGGCCTTAAGGAGGCAAATTTTAGTCCTTGCGGAAGGAGGTAGTGATAGTTAAGAGATTTTACCTTTGAATTGTGTTCTTGGCCGAAGGGTAGAAAGGAAAAATTCATAGGTCGGGTTCTTGCGTGAAATATGAATTTCTGTTCGAGAAGTTATTAGTCCAAGATATTTAGATAATAGTGTAGATCTCTTCAACATATTTTTGTGGATATAAAAAACGTCGAAAACGAAGTTGGAACAAAGAAGTTATGGTCATTTGAAGTTAGGGAGGTTTTGGGTTGAGTCGCATACGTTGGGCGTACTCAACATGTACGTTGGGTGTATTAGGCCATCCCTAGTACGCTAGGCGTAAATTGAGTACGTTAGGCGTACGCGATCATTGCCCAAACCCTATTTTCGTGGTTTGAGCCCTATTTAAGCTCTTTAAACACCCCCCCCCCCCTAAACTCATTCCATTCTCAGCCTCCACCTCTCCAACGCGCTCTCATGAAACCCTAACCCTAGATTGAGCCTTGTGAGCAAAAAGAAGGTGTTTTAAAGTGCTTTAGAATGTTCTTGGTGCACCTTGGAGAAGAAGAAACTCATTGAAGAAGTGTTGGTTGCATTGGAGCTTCTAGATCCAGACTTTATTCACCTTAATCTTCCTTTTAGAGGTATAAAGTTTGAATCTTGATGATGAAATTGTTAGGTCTAGCTAGTTTTGGGTGTTATGAGTTTTTGGTCACTTTAAGGGCATAAAGTTTAGATCTTGAAAGTTTGTGACCTTGTTATAGATAAATTTGGAAACTATATCCATCTAAACATCATTTTGATTCAGATCTGAAAGTTAGAGACTTGGACTTAATGGATTAAGTTGAAAAGATGCACTTTTTGGGTCTCTTTGAGACTTAAAGAATAGATTTCGTTTGTTGGGACCATTCTAATGGATAAAGTTGGAAACTTTATCCATTATGGAACTATTATGAACCATAAAAACATGATCTTGATTGTTGTATGTAACCTATGCGTGTGTTAGATGGTCTTATTAGGTTAAGAACATAGGGTTTTGGACATTAAGCACTTAATAGTTGTGCCAAGTCATAAAGTTGGAAAGTTTATGACGTAGAATATCATTTTGGGCTTGGATATGAGTTTTAGATGGAAGGGCTTAATGGAATAAGCTCTTAATGAAGTTTTGGGACTGGGTTACGTACGTTGGGCATACGTGGAGGTATGTTACGCGTACACGGTCAGCGCCCTACTTTTTAGTCAACATTAGAGTACGTTGGGCGTACTCTCTTAGTAAGCAGGGCGTACTCCGCTGGGAATGGATATTGACTTTTGGGACCTTGATTGTTGACTTTAACTTTGACCAAGGTTGACCAAGTTTGACCTATGGTATTTTGGATTGTGTTTGAGAATTGGTCATTTGGATGGATAGGTGACGGTTAGCGCTGAGATTCAAAGTCGGGACCTCATCAGCTATTATTCATATTGAGATGTGAGTTTCCCTTATTGTACTTACAGGTCGAAGGCACCAAGGTCGGCCCTTTGGATTTATATCCTGGTTTACCTTATGTTGCTATGTTGTACTAGTCTGTTAGATCTGTATCCTGGTATATAGGATGTTGTTATGTTGTAGTGATCTGTTACATCTGTATCTTGGTATATAGGATGTTAGCATGTGACAATGATTTGTAGATCTGCATGTTTGTCTGTTGACTGGTTATATGTTTGTTTGTTATGTATATGTTGACATGTTATGTATGATTGGGTTGAGACAGTCTTTCTTTGTACTGAAGGCCAAGATACATGAGGAGGTTTAGATAGACTGTAGGCCCTGCGATGCGGTCCAGTTAGGCCGAAAGCCCAGCTAGCGGTCTGGATAGGTTGTAGGCCCTGTGAGGCAGTCTAGTCATGCAAAAGGCTTGGGGCGGTCTAGATAGGTTGAAGGTCCTATAAGGCGATCCAGTCATGCTAAAGGCTCATTTATGCATGTTGTTTTTTGTTATGTTTATGTGGTGGTACTTTGGGGGAAACTCACTAAGCGTTGGCTTACAGTTTTAGGGTTATGGTTTTAGGTACTTCCGAGGATCATGGGAAGGCGAAGGCATAACCGTACACATCTTGATTTTATGTTGTTAATCTTGGGAAACTCTTATTTTAAACAATATTTTGGAAACAATGGTTCTGTAAGCACTTTTAACACTAAATGGGTTGTTTTGAAAAGTTTAAATTGGTCGTGATTTTTGAGGCGTTACAAGTTGGTATCAGAGCATTGGTTTTAGCGAATTGGAGAAACATCAGTGTGAATCCATGATCGAACTAAGGAATTGAAATGGTTTTAAAAATGATTTTCTAAGTTGTTTTAAAAAATAATCAAGAAATGATTTGATGTGTATGAACAACTAGAGCCAATAAGTAAACCCCAAATTACCACACTGTTATATGTTATTTTGTTTATGGTAGAACACAATGCTAATTGTAGGATAGGGAATCTTAGAGTGAAGGGTTTGGTCCTATTATGCAGCTCTTGTCTGATTCCAACCGTTGTAGGGTTGAATCTTTTAATCTAGGATTATTTAAGTTATGTTACATGTGATTGTATTCATGCATCTGGCACCAATTTGGGTCGTTCAGCAGTTGGTGGTAGGGGAGGTGGGGAATCCTAGGAGATCCTAGGAAGTATTTTAGTATAGTTACTACGTTGTTGAGTAGGTATTGGCAGTATTATTATGGGATGCGACTTAGAGGACCCGAGATGATTCTTGAGGAAAGTATGGATAAGTGTGGAAGGTAGTATTGGGCCCGTACTACTGGAAGCACATGATCCATACTCAAATCGAGAAAATTTTTAGGGATTCTAAGGAACTGGTCAGGAAAGATAGCATGGTTTGATACCATGATTAATGGAAATGGTTCCATATATGTCGATCTTTTGGTTATGGTTGTTCAAGCATGAGGATGGGTCTGGTAAGTGTTTTGGGCCTCAATGGCAATGTCAGTTTGGGTTTGAATGGTGCAGACCTAGGTGAGTTTGTTGGTTATGAGGTCCTGAAGGCCTTGCTCGAGGCCGTGAATTTGAGTTGCAGGACTTAAGAAGGAAACGACTGTTATGATCAGTTTAGGGATTACAACTGGAAGCTGAGTGGTTGACAGAAGGATCGGGATGTCGCTATCTATGGCGATGATTATGTCCTGACATTTTTCCGAGAAGGAGTGAGCAGGCTTGTGACTTTTAAAGTTGGTATGTAAACCCAACATGGGGGCTAGTTGGTTGCGGTGTTTAATGATGTTATGATGGTGTGGGAATGTGCATGATGATTGATGTGCTATGGATGCGTAGTGATGCGATCAAGGGTCTGTTTTTCTTTGGATATAGCGATGTCAGGTATCGGGTTAACGGTTGGGATTGCAGACAAGGGGTGTATGTTTTGGATAGTAAGTCGGTGTTTTGGTTATGCATTTGTATGGAATCCTTAGTGTTAAAGGTAGTTAAGATTCGAAAAATTTTGAGGTCTTTATCTGAAATTCAAAATCTATTAGGGTCTACTTGGTCCTTATCTAGAAGATCATCTTGCATTTATTACACCATCTTAGAGTTAGGGATGGTTTGTACCTAGTTGATCCATTAAGCTGACAGGAGCAAAGATTTGAAGGATTAGGGAGCGGATTCATATCGGAGATCATGTGGTTTGTTGTTTTGACCATGACTAGCATTCCAATGTGATTCCATTGTGTGCTACTTTCTGATTTGGATGTTAAAACCTTTTAATTTGTGTTTATAATTGAATGAATCTTCGAGTTTATGATTTAATTGCTATTTTGATTGTTATATTGTTATTTAATTTATTTTGTCAAGTTTAATTGGAAGATCCATATATGTTAAAGATTGTTACTTTATTCCCTATTGCTAAATTAATAGAGTTGAGATGACCATTTTGATTGTGTTAATTTGAATCATAGTTTTCCATGACCATTAGTGATTATGACTAGAGTTGGACCAAAATCTAGGGTTAGGAAATAAAGTGGTGAACTTTAATGTGTGTGCTTGGGTAGATGACCATTCTATGCATGATTTAACTCCTATGACCATTAGGGTTAAAGAAGATCGAATCCTGCTTAATACGAACTAAATATTGATTTGCATGATTGTTTGTTCACTTGATTAATGAATTAATAGTTGAGTTGAAATCAAAGGATTAGTAGCGTGGCCATGATGCTAGTCACCCGGTCTTACCACAACTATACTATCGCACAATTAGGTTCACCGCCTAGTGTGTTTAATAGTTTGGTTGCAATGAAATCAGTTTTATAATTTAAAACTTGAGCAATTAAATTATACACATAAAAACACACATCAGCCTGGTAGATACTCGCACTAAAATCTTTAGCTAATATTATGCCTAGTTGTTATACTAAACCATAATGATAGATAAGATCATACCTAGTTGTCACGCTGGCTAGCTGCTAGGAAACATTGAAACTCGTTATTATAGTCACCATTTGGATAAGCTTAGTACCTAGTGTTACTCTACCTAAATTATCAGCTATGCAA